CGTGTAGAACCATCGATCGCGGCGCGCGCTGAGAAAACATCGATGCTTTCGCGGGCAGAAATCAATTTGTTCGCTTCTTGAGGCAATGAAATCGTTCGATTAATCGCGAATAAAGTATCCGTTAATAACTGACATAGATTCCTTTAAAAAACATTTCCTCAATTTCTGTTTTCTGACTCAAATATTAATAGCGAATATGTAAGAATAAATTAGTCTCGACGAGTATAATAGCAGTAACCTTTAATTGCCACGAGCAACACTGTACAACAGAATCATCATGTTTCTGCGAAAGTATCGAAGAATATTGCACCGCTGCTGGATCAATTCATTTTCACTCGTCGAAACGTTAGACGAGCGATCTTTGCACGTTGCGCGGCGATCGGCAACGTCGTACTACGCCGATTCGACGAACTTTTCCGCGTTTCCTGCGGTTTCGGCCCGTTTCCACGGAATAGGATCACGTCCGTCGAATCTCGACGGAATCCCGGAATTCCAGCCGGTCGAAACAGCGAACGGCGAATGGAGCTCTGCGGCTTTCTGCCTCCATATTCCCTAATTGACCTCGGTTGCGCCAGACCGAGCCGCCGCGGCTTCAACTTCGGAGTCCTCGGCCGCGATGGAACCATTACTGCTTTTTCGATTTCTTTTTTCCTCTTTCCGTCTATCTCAGTTTATATTTTTCGGGTTTCTTGGATCATTTATATCGAATCATTTTTTTCGGGGATCTCGAAGCTCCGAGTATTTTTCATTTTTAAATCTGCCAAGTTCGAAGGTTTCTGATTTGTATTCTGTAATTGCGAAAGTGAAAGATTTGACGAGAATTGAGATTCTATGATTGATTTCTAAATAGGGAAAGACACGGTTATAACGAGGATACCTGTTAGCTGTTACATAGTTGGGTTATTCTCGACTATCCGTGAGACATTTATTATTTATAGATCGGAGACTGATATATCCACAGACATTTCCTTCTGTTATAATTGATTAACCAATTGCAGAAACGGTTGTTAGACTGTCAATTAGGACAGACGTGTCAGACTGTTTTTTGGCTGTCGATCTTCTGAAGCACCACTTCGGATGTGCTCGATTTGTAACGTTATTAACCCTCCTGCTCAAAATAGTTTTAACCGCGGAAATTAATCATCGTTGGCATTTTTCGGTGTATTTACATAAATCGAAGGTCAAACTGTTTTATTCAAACATTCTATTCCTTCCGAACTGTTTTATTTTTACCCGAATATCCAAAGTACGAACTTATTACACGAAATTTGATATCGAACGCGAAACTAATAATTTCCCCGAGTCAAACCGACTGGCAACTGAAAGTCGTCTCCCGAGTGCAAAGAGTTAATTAACGTCTCTCCCGGGGCGCATAAAATTCCTAGTCTGTTTATTAATACTCCTACTTTCTCTTTTGCAGCATTTTCAACAACATTTCATTGTTTCTAATTATTACTCGCGTTCCCCCGGGCAAACAATTTCCGGCTGCGTTTCGTCTGCAGTCGTAAATGTTCAATTGAACCTGACGAATCCAAGTGTTGCTTTTCTTTGAAATCCAAATTATTTTTCTGTTACCAATCGTCAACTTTTGGAGCAAACGTAGACAAGTAAGCATCGGAAATTCTTCTTTCCCGAATAAATCGTTAACGATAAAATGGCTGAATCAATCGGAGAGCCGAGAGTCACCTTTCGACTGCGGAGGGTTAGATTCTAATTGAATGGAATAACGTCGATGCAAGGCTCAGAGTGAAAAGCCGGGAACAGTCGGGGCCGCAACGGGTTAAACGTCCCGCGGGGATTTTTCTATTCGGCGAATCTGTTCGATCCTCCTTTCGCTGATCTCTCCGAGAACCGGAATGATAAACACGCGAGCGAACAGCGCCGACACGAATTCTTCTCCTGGCGCGAACACATCGATACCGTTACCGGTCCGCTGTTCGATTGCTCGCCGGTCACCGGGCGACCCGGTTTTTTCCTCGGAATCGTTCGTTTTTGCCGTTTTATCCGTATCCTTCGCGAACGGAAAGACGTTTGCCGTGTTTTGTCATTTATTTCGAAAGTAAAACGCTCGGAATAAGAAAGTAACTTTCGAAAGTAGTCATGGCTGATTTTACACTTGACCGTTCGAGTTGTTGATACCTGGATATTAGAGTTAGTATGTTAAGCAGCGTAATTGCATGCGCCGCCGATTAACAGTTATGGAAAGTAACTGGTAATCTGTTCATCTCGGGAACTAGGTAATCTGTAATCCATTCGCTCCGTAGCTTAAATAACTCCTAATCCGTTCGACTTGTAAACTAACTTACTTATCGTTCTACTCCTAACCCATTCAGCTTGTAATTCAATCGACATCCGGTACAAGAAACCGAGTTATAATCTATATTCGTCACAGAAACCTATCGAAATCAGTCTCGAATTACCGAATGCCGCAAACATGTCCGCGAGGCTGATCCAGATTCGATTCAAAATTGACCCAGGAAAATATGTAATTCGACGAAAGAGTCAGCGAACCGAGGAATAGTTCGGCGTGCGTGTTAGTCGGCGCGATTCGCGCATCCTGTGCTCGTCGCTCCATTGTTCTTGGACGCGCGGAGGCGTGCACCGGGGAGAGTCGCTCGCTCTCGAGTCACGGAGAAACGGGAAAGAGGACACGGAGGCGTATCGTCGCGGTTCTACGTGGGACGATTATCATTCGCGGATTGTCGTTGCGTCTCCCTCGCCTCGCGAACAACGCGATTTCTCAAAATTGCCGTCGCGGAGACGCTGCCTCGAATTTCTCCCTTTAGTTTAGCTCCTTTATTTCTTTCTTCTTGTTATTTCACTTTGCCTGTTTCCCTCTGTTTCCTCTCGTTCCTACTTTTCCGCTCCTTTCCACGAGTTGTTGACGTCTGGAGTTAGCGTGTTAGCGTAATTGACCGTTGCCGCGTAGATCATTGATTAACAGTTATAGAAAGCAGCTTCTAATCTGTTCGACTTGTAATCTAACCCGTATTTTCACCTCTCTTCCGTTTCTTTTTTGTCCGCGCTCGCGCGTTTCCTTCTTCCTTTCTTATTTCTCCCCTTTGCCGTCCCTCGCTTCCTCTCGTCTCCTTCGAGAAAATTCCGTCAGCGCCGCAGAACGCGGATCACGTGCGCGAGACTGATGATCGCGGTGGATCCGTGCGCGAGCTGCCACACGCTCGCCGAATAAAAAGCGAATCCTCGGTGCGGCAACGGTAGGCCGAGCTCTCGCCGAGAAACGGAAAGCCGGTCGGTCGGGGGTCCGAGCCGGTTACACGGTCATCTAGTTTCTCCCCCCGTGTGCCGTGCGTTTCCTGTTTGTTTCCTTGATCATCGCGCGGCCTAATTGCTTGCCCCGGGGATCGCGGCTCTTAATGGCTCACGCTCCGCTTAAGTCGCACTTTTATCTTCTCCCTCGCATCGAAAGAGGATTCCGATGATCTTGCTTCGTTCCGTTGCACTTTCGTTTTGCTCGTTGCTTTTGTGCTCCGGTGACTCTGAACCGAACCTGCCAACTGTTCAAAGCGGACTCGATCCTCTGTAGTTTGATGTGTTCTTTGATTCCTCGGTTTAAACCTTGCGCCGCCGTTGTTTCGTTCGAATGAAATTCAATCTGCTAGTTTAATAACTGATCGGATCACGTTTCAGAGGCATTCAATGTGTAGCTTCGTATCCGTGAATGTGATATCGATAATTGCAATTGAATGATTTCTTGTGTACTTTGAGTATCTTTATATTAACTTTGTAGCTTCTAAACACGGTGGAATGTATTGGTTGAAATAGAAATAACAGCTTCGAGATGACACACGAAAGAAGTTCCAAAGATCCGTGTCGAAACGATGCCTGAAGTAGGCGTGACTCGATCGAAGCGCGTTTCACGGTTGGCAATCGTTTTTCGCACGATATCCCGCCGATTTTCCGTGCAGAACGTTCCGAAAAATTTCCCGTCGCGTTGCAGGAAATCGCGCCGCTTTCCGCGAATGGAAAGGAGAGAGGGAACGCCGGCAAATTGCTCGTTTCGGTTACACGCGGCTCGCAGCGTCGTTGAATGGAAGCGACTAGCTGGAAGCCGGCTAGGAAAAAGCGAGAATCAACCCGTTGTAGCCGCGCGAGCTGTTATACAGCCCCTCGATATCGTTTTTTCCATGGACACCGGGTTGGAAGTTCGCCGCTGTGCGCGTGCACGAGGCGTGTAGGTGCATAGGACGCGACGCCATCATTAGAAGAAGCAGGAGGATGAAATGGGGAAAGAGAGCCCTTTCATTTCCTCGCGTTTCCGAAATTCGCGTTGCAGTTCGCGCGGAAGAGGGATGCAAAAAGTTGAAACGATATTTCAAAGAGACGTTTGCTTCTACATCGCGTAAACCGAGCAACAAGGTAGATCAGAGAAAGAAATCTGTTTCATTTCCCGGCGTTGTGAAAATTCGCGTCGCGTTTCACGCGAATGAAAAGTTCAAAAATGTTTAAACGATATTTCAAACAAACGCTCCCTTCTGTATCGCGCAAAGTGAGCAATTGATCGTCGTTAAACCGTCGATATTTATATCAACGCGGATTTCCGCGAGATTGACGTGCAGATGATGGAAATCGCGCATCGACCGCGGCGCCAGTGGTTCTCATCCAGCCCGGCGAGCCGAAAAGTCGCTCGCCGGGGAGCGCGCGTAGAAACGGCGCGGCGATTGTTTTTCCTCGTTATTTTTCGATTCTCATTTATTCGAAGCCGTGTAATCTGCTCTGCAAACCCTGCTCCGCATTTCAAACAGAAAATAATCCCGCAGAAGAGAGGAAACGGAAGAGAGATTCCGTGGATTACGAGTTCGCCTCTCCATTAACTTTCAACGGATCGCTCTTCCTGCGTAAACAAACAAACAAATATCAATATCTGGAATCAATTCAAGGATGAAACTTCCGTCCAACATCAAGTACCGCGTAAACCCCAAGAAAAACACTCTAAACGAAACCCAAACGATCCGAATCTAATCTAGCATCCTCTGTTCCAGATCCTGACCGGTATCAATCGAAGACGACTCAACGAAAAAACAGGAAGCGGAAGACGACGACGAAGAAGAAGAAGAAGAAGAGGAAGAAACAGCTATTCTCCTTATAACGAGTCGAAAGCCAACGGAAGAATCAAGAAGGGTGGAAAAGGCTGATCTCGAAGGAGGGTCGAAAGGTTGACCGACCCGCGGCAACGGAGAAAGGGGTTAAGGAGAGGACGTGGCGTGGAACCGTGTTCCCTGGCCAACGTGGAAGAGGAGGAGGAGGAGGCGTCGGCGGCGGCGAGAGGAGGCGGAGGGAAAACTGGGACCAAAGAGCGAGGAGGGGAAGAGATGAGCCTGTCGGGTGACTCGCGAGGCGAGCTGGTTGTCGGCTGCGCGACGAAAGCCAGATAGCGCCATTAGTCGTTGCTGGGCGACCGGTAGCCCCGAGCAGATGCCTGCTACGGCCCTGGCGATCGGCGACGAAGGCGACGAGGCCGAGGAGGAGGGCGACGGGGATAGCAGAGGGCAAAGAGCGATGCATCCCCCGACGTCGCAGCGCCGCGCACGTCGATCCTCGATCGGGAATCCCCTGATCGTCCTCCTGACGCTGGGATGCCTCTCGATCGCCCGCGCCTCGCCTCTTCATCCCATGCCGATGCTCCATGCAGGTGAGTCATTCGGTTCTTTGGATTCTGCGGAGGATTCGGGAATTCCCCGGTTAACGCTACGTTCACGGAACACGTCAACTCCACGCACCTTGAATTTTATGAAGACTCTTTGCTAAACGTTCACGTCGATTCCGATCGACGCAATTCGGCGAACGTATTTCCCAGTAATCCGTTTTCAATACTAGATTTACCGGGAAGGTCATTTTTTCATCCATTTAGTTTCATTTATAAGATCATTGTGTATAATTATGTCGTTCGTTAAGTTGATTTTTAAAGAAAACGTGATTTTGTTCATGGTCGGTGAACCTGGCGTTAAACATCCAGTCTCTAAGGATCAGAACCAGCGAACACTGATTGTTCCAGGAGCAATTAAATTGTTCAGTCCCATTGAAGCGTTGTAAACACAATAGGATTTCTTTTGCCACGTTTGTTGCTTACGTACGGGGATCGAGTATGCCTGCGTAACGGGTAGAGATCTCGAGTTTTCACGGGCTTCCAGTCGCACCGATAACGACTCCCGATGGAAGATCCGATGCGAGGAATCGGCTTTAAGTAGCTGGCGATTCGCCACGGGCCAAGGCGTCGATAAGCCTGCCTTGTTAATTAGATTATCGGACGACATTGCGTCATTTGAAAGCCGTACGACGCGGAGTACAATCGCGGGACGTCTTTGTTTTGCTTTCATTAACTGTACATCGAGGCAATTTCTACGTTTGCACCTGCTCGATTATTATCGAGTTTCGGAAAATTTCAAGCACGATTGGAGTTCCAAGCTTCCATCGGCGTACAGTTGTTTCAATGAAAGCGGAGTGTTCTCAAGAAAACTCGAACGCATTAATAATTTAAGCAAGCAAAAAACTTAAGCAACGCCCGCGACCGACGCGAACGTGTGCTTTAATAGTCAACACTCTCTCGAGGCTTTGTCCCGGGCTGTACCCTTTGTTCTTGATCGGTGCTTACCGGGGAACAATAGGAACGCGACCCCGAATGGTACTCTAATTGTAAAGTACACGATACTCGCGCGATCCGCTCGCCTCGCTGTCTCTTCCGGTGACTTTCACCCCTTCGGCTCGATTCTCCTTCCGTTCGGTGCGTGGGCTGGACGTCCTGCCGCTCCTTTCGAGAATATTTAACGCGTACATTTTCTATCTAGACCCGCTAAATCTTTCCTTCCATCTCAACACCTTCGTTTCAAAAACGAAAAGCCGACGTTTACAAATACTTCTCTCGTTCACACGAGAGATCGGTAAAACGATGAAAATTCGAATCGACGATCAAGGCAGACAACGCGAAAATTGCGCAACGCAAAATCGTCGAAACAATCGCAGTAGACCAAGGTTTCCTAGACGATTTTCGCGCGAGCAGCCTTTGCAATTCCTTACATAATCCAACGCGAATTGCGATCTTGATAGCCGTCCGCGCTCGCGCTCGTTCAGCGATTATAAAACCGTCAAACTATCAGCCCGAAGGAAACGTGTAGCGCGATATTAATTTATCTCCCGCGCATTATAAACTCCGAGAATATAATTTCCCGCGTGAAACGGGGTTTACAGGTTTATAAAGCTTAACTGCCGTATAATAAGTGTGTCTTAACCGTGCGTCCGCGGCGTCGTTTTCGATCGCGCCGGCCGGCGAGCTAGTTAAACGCGTATCCGTTCTCTATTCTCTCGATCGAAGTTCCGCATCTTTTGTTCCACGAGTCGCGACAGTGAAAGTTCCTTCCCCACCCACGCCGGCGCCGAATTTTGCAAGAGCCCACGGAACTAGCCGAATACAGGGCGGTTTCTCTTCTGTCCCCTGTAAACAGAGAGAGGGAGATGATAGAGGAGTTTCGTTAACGAGCCCCGTAATTCGATATTTCGTGACGCAACGCGCGACAATGCGGCGGAAAGTAGCCTCGTTACGAGATATAAACTTGGACCCGGACGGCGACTTTTAACGAGGGTGGTTCACGGTTTCGTTTCCGGGCTCGTTACCGCGATTCCCCTCTGAAAATTTTGTGTGCGGAATAGGACGGGCTGCGCCGGTGCTGTGTTGCTGGATTCATTTGGAGTTCTAGAGGAATTTAGGGGTTTCTGGAATTGGCAGAATGGGAATTATCCTTTTCGAGGAATGTTTAGCGATGTAATAGTTTAACAGCGCGGAGCGTCGAGAATTTTAGAGACTGAACGCAAATGATTCTCTAACGAAGACACTGTTCCTCGTTTCAGGTATCACCCAGGGCTCGTACATCGGGTACTACTCGGTGGCCTCTTACGATACCGCGGCCTTGAGACACCACCGGAACCGGATGCGCCGCGATGTCAACGACGTCGTCGACAATCACCCTCTGCTGCTACACCTGAAGGCACTCGACAAGTAAGTTCCTCTCTCTCCCCTGAGGGAAAAGTTGATCGCGAGTCGGTGTCCCTTTTATTCCCCGTTTCCTCTCCGAGTTAAGATAGTTACTGTTGCTAACGGACGCTTTTGAAAACATTTTCTTCTATAAAGCTAGAATGTTTCCTGTCGTCACGAGGAAACTAGGTTTTCAGATTATTTCCACTTGGACGAATCTATAAAGGAAATCCAAATCAAACATGTCCAACACAATCTGGATCTTCGAGGCCTTCCAGCTATTTATATTGGTACTGTTTACTTTCGCCACTAAGCTCATGTACCATTTCACTATCGACAATGGAAGAAACGCAACGAAATCCATGCTACTTCAAGTGAAAATTTTATTTGAAGATAATGTTTGCTTTGATGGGTAATGGATAACATCGATTGTTGTCGAATTAGTCTAGAAACCTTCGTCACGAGTCTCATTGTACGGCAAGGATTAAGCCTAAGCAGTTAAGCCTAGAATATCATCGTTGGATTCCAGCAAATTGAATAAAAAGAAGTCTGAAAGTTCACGACAATACCACAGCGATTCATCGGCGAGAGGAGCTTCGGCAAATCCTCTGCGATTATTCCCTAGACCGCGTTAATCGGAACACGACTCCTGCGGGTTATCACGGGGATGTCCCGTAATCGTATCAGCCCGTACGCGCGAGCGTCGTGTCTGGTTAGGTCAATAGGCCTAGATCCAATTAAGGTCAAGTTCGTGTAGACGTTGGTGAACGGGTCCACGGTGTGCGTGCACGTCCGTGCCGGCGCTCACAGCGAGAGGGGTTGCGCTCGTGTGCGTAGCCTAGGTAGATTAATAGGGTTGCGCGGGATATACGCGGCACTACATCAAGCCGCGGAACAAAGCTCGCCCGACAGTCGAAAGCGATACAACGCACCGCTGGAGAATGCGGCCATTATGTCCTTTCATTTCCATACGCGATGGAAAATCACGTTACCCTTGTTTTTCCCGAATTTTCTGCTGCTCTTCGATTTTAGGGCGTTTAACGCTAGATCTATCGAACCCATCGGAACGACCGGTTTCAGTTCTCTTATTCAGTAATTATTGAGATCTTTAAAGTGTAAAATATCCAAATGGTTTGAAAAATATCACTTGAATAATTACAATACGCGAAGAGATCGACGTAATCTCCACCGTTTTTATGATTAGATGTTAATCGTATCGAACACTCGGTAGCTTCAGCGTTAACAAAAATTGTCTTGCAAATTACAAGCTTCGCGTCAGCTAGATTTCCGGCTGAACAAACATTTGTCAACCGTTCAAGTAAGAGTTTCAAGTGCACGCGAATCCCTTTGACGAACCGCCATTTAAACGCGAAACGTTCGTTCCGGTTGTCTGCGATTCGCTAGACAACAAGCATTACAATCTTAAAGCCGTCTTCGATCGTCTTCGATCCTTTGCCCCGTGGAATCACCGTGAAACGCAGAAATCCTCCCCGGAATACCGAAGGCAGACGTGACGCGACGCGGGGACGCGTCTCTTTATGCAAATCGCTCGAATTCACGGCGGGCAATAAAATGTAAAGCAGCGCCGGGGGGACAGCCTCACCCCTTTTTCTCCTTCGACCCGTCCCCTCGTTGTTTCCGGGCCGATGCACCTGCCGCGAGCACCGCGAAGATAACGCCGCAGAAGGAGAAGCGGTATTCGCCCCGGCGACGAATTCAAATTAAATCCATAATTCCCGATGCCGCGCGGGTCCGGCTCGATCGAATTATCAAGAGAGCCCCGAAGTTTTCCGTGCGAATTGTTTGACTAATGGTTTCGCGTTTCGAACCTCGCCCCGCGATACGTCTGATTTCATTTCGAGATTGCTCGAGGTGAACGCGCCGCTCCATTCGGATGGAGATTGCTCGAAAGATTTCCTTGCGGTGCTCGTTGCGTAGGTTTGCTCGAGATTTCCGAGGAATTTTCGGTCGTCTCAGTTGATTGGCAAGTTTTTCTATGGAAATTCGATGGTTTGTTGGACGTTCCAGTTTCCTGGGGGATGGGGAACGATGTGTTTATAGTAACAATCGAATTCTATTGAAAGATACAGCTTCATTTGTGTTTTCTAAACAGTAATAACTCTATTATCCTTATATTTCATGCATCCAATAAATTCGATTCATTTGGTACGCTACTGAGAAAATTAATGTGTAAGTTTCTCTGAAAAATGGTGTCACCAAATTTGAACGACGAGGCAGCCAAAGTGTTAATCAATATCGAAACGAACGACGAACGCGTTGTAAAGTTTCAATTGATAAATCCGTTCGCCGCTTGCCTTCTTTATTAACCAGAGGCGATTTTAAAGTCAATTTCCCCGACGCTATACGCGAAAAAATTCCGTTGCGCGTTTCTCGCGGCGGATCGTCTATCTTCCAGGAAACGGCCCGTATAATTCACCGTGCTGCTTAAGCTCTGCTCTTTTCTTCTCTCTAAATAATATCCCCGCGACAATATCCTGTCGTCGGTGCGGCCGCGAACAACCTACGCGCGGAGCGGCGCGCTGAAATAAATGGGCACGCGTGAAACGTGAAACGGAACGAAACTTTGGGCGTTTAGCTTTTCGCCGAGCTCCGATCGATCGCTTTACTGTAAATGTTTGGCTGAAAGATTGAACAAGTTCGGGATGAGCCGACGTTGAACGGGGTAATTGGAAAATTGTAAATTGCTGTGTGCGGGAAACGTTGCGAAATTGCGAATTGGCGAATATCGAAGAATTCTGAAATTGCTAATCTACTAAATGGATCAGAATAATACTTCTCGCATCGATCAACCATCGATCTATCGCTTTATCCCAAAAGTTTCAAAATTATATTGAAGATCCACGATACAATGCAAGTAAACAGACGGACGCAACGTAAGCTCGAAATAACAATAGAAAAGTCCATGAGGTACTATAGTTCCCCCGCGTACGAGCTGCGTACAGGGGCGTAATTTTCCACGAGCACCCCTCGCGTTATTTAAGAACTCGGCCGACGAGGGTTGTTCTTTTACCGCCACGAACGCGAATCGCTCCTTCCGGTACATTTCTAACTGGCTTTCCACGACGCCCGGTGACCGCGTTCTCGAGCACGTATTCTTCTCCTTGGCGGCCGTCTTTTCCTTAGCCGTCTCCGAGGTAATGCCGTGGAATTACGGATGAATTTTCCCCGGTTCCGCAGGAAACCTGGGAAAGCGTTCTGTGGCCGAGCTTCCGTCCCTGATTTCTTATTTGACGTTTAGATACTGGCCGAGTATTCATCTCAGCGGTAGACTCGAACCTTTAGTCGTTGAATTTTCAAACTGCAAGTGTTAATAAAATAAGATTGAAGCGATTAGTAGAATGTCGAAGGATATTGTTGCCGCGGACATTTAGATTTGGGAACTTTTTGCTCCAGGGAGTCGATGCTTTGACGATCCCCAGAATTTGCAGTTTGAAAAACTTCGTTATTGGCGGGGGAAATCGACGACTGTTCTTTTATTCATTGTTTCCCGGATCAAAGGGAAACGTCTGATAAATTGTTCCTGTTTCGCGGTGACTTGGAACGATAGCCGACGCGAAATTCATTTTCGCAGGAGGATCGGGCAGCGGTAATCCCCGGCACGCCGGATTTTTCTCATAAACTTTTTACGTCGCGAGACACGCCACGGCGAATCCCGTGTAACGAATCCAATAACACGGCCGTCCGCGAATCCGATTTTCTCTGGGCCGGAACGGAAGAAGAGGGAAACAGAGAATCTAATAAATTCCGTGTATATTTATTCGTCGAACGCGATTCGCCTGGAACAACGTGACGCGGCGCTTTAACGCGGTGTCGCTGCCACGTACGGGGTGTATCCGTTGTTCCGGAGATTTGCCGGATACCAGTTTCGAATTTTTCGAGAAATTTTCTGACAATCGGTAATTCCAGAAACAATCGCAACTTCGACGTCATTTCCCACGGACAATGTTCTACAATCTGTACACGACAAAAAACTCGAGACAACACTTGTACGTCAATCACAAAGCGACCGAAGAAAAAAGCTAATTACATTCTACAGCTTGATCGATACAAAGCGGCTTTTGTTCGGGACATTCCTTTATATAACGAACAGGTTACACGTAGTTTAACTCGCCGGCCTGATATGTGACTCACCCTGTATACACATTCATGTATGCAAGAGAAACGCGTACGTGCGCGTGCGTGCGCGACGAATTTCCTTTTCCCCGTGATTGATGCTTCCATCGTGGGACGCTTAACCGACTCTCCCGGCGGCTGATTTTGATTGATCGATTTCGCGGCTATTTAACGAGCTCGTCGGCGAATCGACGCTCGCCGGGGATATATATTGTAAAAAACGAGCCGTCGTTTTTGCAATTCATATACGGGTCCGCGAGCGCGACATCTGCGCGCCCCTATACACGGGATATTCCAGCCGTAACACCGACGGCGAGGAAAATCCGACGTTGTTTTCATTCGCGAAATAACAGAAAAAAAAAGAAACGCTGGTCGATTCGCCGCTCGTATTTGACCTTTCATTCCGGTAATTGGTCCTTTCGGATTCTCCAAAATGAATACGAGGAATTTGCACGGGAAATCGGCCGGACACAATGGAATAGAGTTTTTTCCCTATGACTCGTCGCGCCGTGTCGGATCGATGGTTCCGATAATTGTTCGTCTAGCGGCGCGCTCGGATATCCCAGAGTTTTCAAATTTGGCAGGGTGAATTTACGGCGACCGCTGGGTCGAAAAGGTGGAATAAAGTTTCTTCCTGGGAGCTTCCGTTCCCGAGATAACCGGTTTTCAAAGCTCAGTCGTATTCGGTTTTAGTGGAAGGAGAAACGGCGAGCCACGGGCAGACACGCCGCTCCTTATCCGACGCGTCCATCGGACGATCGAATTCAATTATCTCGAAAACAGAGCGTCGTACGGAAAAAATGTATTCCGCGTTTTCGACGGAGATTTCCTCCATTCGTTTAATTGAATTTTTAATTATAGACCATTCGATCCCTTATTCCGTTTTGCACCGTTTCAACCGTTCTTCCGTTGCTCTGTTCTCTATCAACAAGATTCTATAAACTTATTTTAGAAGATTCCTCTGCAATAATGAACAGAATTGATCTGTGAACTTCCCGAATATCGAATAATACCTGCAAATAGTCTTATTGATCACGGAATCGATCGGTTTAACCGATAATTCCTTTCGCGTGCGCGTATCGAGCTTTACAGTGTCGCGATTTTTCCGCGTGGAACATCGCGTTGCAGGAAACCCGCAGGATCGTTCGCGGCCACGCATATTCGGCTCGTTCCCTCGTTGGAACGCCTCCGTGCGAGCGACAGCGGTTCAACCTGTGCCTACACACACGCGGGAAGGAACTGGATCCCTCCGTGTCGCTATATTCGGAAGTCTCTCTCTCCGAGAGCAGAGGAATGCGATTGTGTACGCGCTTCTTAACCCTTTCCCGTCGAAGGTCGTACATACGCGGCGGAAAAGAATGTATCGCATCTATATTTCTACGGTGCGCGAGTGAGACATCACTGCCGTGGCAACAGGAACTGATCTTGGGAAAAGCAGACAGTTGCTTATGCACACGCAATTTCTATTTTTGAGACCTGTTCACTTTCAAAGAATGCTCTTGGTCGAGCAGAGCAGGGAGAAATGTCGAGGAAATTATGGGGTTGGTGAATTAGTGAATTATTAAATTAAAGTACCAAAGAATTATTGAATGATAGTGTTAGAATTATAGAATTATAGAGACATGGAACTATAAAGTCAGAATTCTGGCACTACAGAGTAGAGTCACAAAGTTAGGAAAACTCGGGGAAAAATTCTACGGAGAACCCATCTACAAAGGGTTAACGGGGTCGAGTTTAATAGACGAAAGAGATATAATGTCGCAGGGGGACGAAGAACAAAGAAGACGGTGCACCGTTATCGCCGGTATCGAATTATGAGAATAATTGCTGGCGTACAAGAGGCCAGAGAGGAGAGCGAGGTACAAGGATCCGCGACTAATTGTTGCTCTCCCGGCGTTAATGCCTCCTGCGCTCTCCTCTCTTCTCCCGTTTATTTATGCTAATGCCGCGGTATTAAATTCTTTCCGCGAGACAAAGGAGCGAGGAGAGAGGATCCTCTTCTCGGTAACACTGTATTCGCGACTATTTTTCACGCGAAAAATCTGTTCGTGCTCGAATGGAAATTGCCCGCGCCACCGAAACGAACCGGTCCTTTTACGCACAGCAACGTTCGCTTTTTTTCTCCTGCATTCTGATTCTCTTTTTCCTCTTCTTGGCTCTGCGGTTGTCTTCCTCTTGTTTACTGTTTCTCCTTCAGTCGATCCCTCTTTTTCCCTTTGTCTCGACTTCTGCTTCTGTTTTCCTGCTTTGTTCTTTTCGGCTACTCTTTCTTTTTCTCTTTTCCTTTGGATGTTTTTTCTTGACTCTCTTCCTTGTTCTTCGACTCTTTCTCTTAGCTCATCTAACTTTCCACCGCCTCTCTGTCTTCAATGCTTTTACTCTCGGAATCTCCTCGCTGTTCCATTCAAATTTCTCCCATTCATTCAACTCGCATCCCATCTTTCCCATCTTTCCCATCTTTCCCATCTTCCCCTTTATCCTCCTCATTCTCCGCGAGTCCTCCCGCCCACGCCCCTCCCAATCCCTTTCAATCTGGCTTGGCCGCGAATCGAACTTCCGAAACGCAATTCGAACGATCCCCATCCCTCCCACTTGAACCTCGATTCGCCAATCTCGCGTAGCCGCCTAACGAGAATCGAAATCGTATCCGGCCAGATCAGAATATTTTGTCCGCGGTCCGGCTAATCCGTGTCTCCGGCCACCGTGAATTTAATTAAAGGTAATCCCATTTATCCCCTTCCCGTCCTAGAATCCGGGATTATACGGCGAGCGTACGCAATCGCGTTTCAATGTCACTCCGCGGCCGGCTGCTCGCTCGAATCCTTTCACGTCTCTAAATTTAATATGCCTCGTCTGCTCCTGCCTCTCTGTCTCTCTCTCTGGCCTGGTCTCATTGGTCCCACGGTTCGTCCGTCGACGAGTCGACGAGTCGCGTTTCCCGGGTATCGTCCTTCGACCGGACGGGGAACGAGTCGCGCCGCGAAAACACCGGTAATCCCCCTTAATCGCCATGAGAACGCTCGACGGACGCGGTTTGTCGACGGAACGATCGCTGATTCACGGCGAACGGATCCTGACGGACGCACGTCGAGCGTGACACCGCTCGACGGGAGCCTCGAGGATGTCGGAAATCTTGGGAATTTTCAGATTTCAACGGCGATCGACGCGATTCCTTGGGAATCGATGAAGAACGACCGCTGTTTTTACGGTTTCTCGTGAGCTCCTCTGACACGTGTTTTTCCGGGTTTTCCACTAATGAAGAAGCTTAATTATCGCTGGTTTAGTTCTGATTTGTATCCTAGTATCCGCGGAAAGTGGAAAATGTCGATCGATACAGCTTCTGCATATTCTATCCATTTTATCAATCAGGAACCACATTCACAACTCATTTCTGCGCTGCCACTTCCCGTTCTCATCAAGGATTTCGCTGAAAATTTCCAGCATTCCATCGATAAAACCTGTTCGTAACGATGACTCTCGTTTGGTTGGGGTCAGCCGGCCCGTCCGTCGTTTCCGGATAATCCGTCAGACTGTCCGGTGCGTCGAGGTCGTCGAAACGTCGTCGTCGTGTCACAGCCGCGAGGTCGCCTGACGTCGGCCTTTCGAAGGCTTCCTCGACCTGTCCGTGATTCATCCTGTCTCAAACCGATCGTCTACCGACAACAGCCTCCTCGACGTCTTGTTCCCTCGCGAAACATCTTGATTTCACTGCCGAACGAACGACGTTCGAAATGTCGGGACTTTCCACGAAACAAAGGCGAAATCAAGAAGCACTTCGTCGATTCCGCCCCGCTAATCATCCCCTTTGCTCCGCGATATCCGATTATCGGCCTTCAGTGCGGCGATTGTTAGTACGCGAAGGACGGAAATCGATAATTAATCGGGAGCTGCACTCCGGAAAGCCACTTTGAACGGGTTGTCGTATCTTTCGCGCGTTGGAATGCCGAACACACGAGCCGCTCGCTGCTTTGTGCTTCGGCCCGCTCGCTTTGACGCGGGCCACAGTCGAGTCGTATCGGCTGCCGAAATCATCTTGGAAGAATGTGCAATTTTCATCGGTGCTTTTCCTGCTCCAATCGAATACCTTCAGTTCATAGTTCCGATATGGCTTTCACTGGATTTTTATCAAGTACCGTAATTAGCGCATCCATTTACCGTGACCATTATATTCGTTAACTATCAACTGCTAACCTTCGAGATAATGTCTAGTTTAAAGAAGTTCGATGAGACTTAGGTATTCTCTGGAATATAGTAACCCCAACAGTTTGAGCAGTAATAACGATACTACATTTTTGTTACAGACAATGGACGTTGCGTTTGATCCGCGATAAGAGTCTGTTCAGCAGGGACGCGACGTTCGAGAACACAAACGGGCCGATCGACTTCGACACGTCGCACTCGTACGTGGGCAGCGTGTTGGGTGAGTTGAAAATCACAGTTAATTAATCCACTCTTATTTCAATCTTCAATCTTCTCTTGAACCATCATTATTCCATTTAACCATTCTTCACTCGCCCATTCTATGCACTATCTCAATCGTCTCGATTTAATCAATTTGAATACCGTTCTCTACTTTCGCATATAATAACGCCATGGTCCATCGAGCACCGCATTCTTTATTGCTCATTATCAGCCGTGAAAACTAAAATACCTCTCGAAACGCGTTCCACCGACTCCGCGCGACACGAGCAATAACTGTATGCTCAGTGCAGATATACGCGGGCCGCGCGAGCAAATAAACAAACAGAGAACACCATCCCGGCGACATCAGTCACGAAGGGAGGCGTGTTCCTCCGAACATCGCGACACGAAACGCGCGTAATCCCCGAGCCACCGGGGCTGGCAGGCGAATCTCGTTTCGATCGTCGTCGCGGCTCGTTTGGAAACCCGCCAGACACCCTATTCAAGGTGCACCGAGGAGGTCGGGACCCCCGGGCCGATGTACACGCTCGATATACACGCGGCAGCCGAGTTGACGTGTCGCACCCCCGTTTTTCCGGCGGCGCGACGTCCACCCCCGGCCCTGGGAATTGCGAAATTGCGAATACCTTCGACGGGACGTCGAAGAACGTTGTCGTTGTTGCTCGGCTGCACGCGGTTATCCCTTGTCAGGGGGCTGGAATCGAATTTGGACGGCGTTCAACCCCTTCCGCCGTTAGTCATCGGAATGACTGGATGTTTCTGCGAAATGTTCGTCAGTCATTCGAATGTTCGATCGAAACCTATTCGATGTCTACCGGGATTATTTAGTTCTCCGCCGAATTCATTTTCGGAGGAATATTAACGAAGTTCGCAGGGAAAGTCGAGAGGAAGGATAAAGTTGGAGATAAAGACACAATGCAGATGAAATTAAAGCGAAAGGTGAAGTTGCAGGTGAAGTTCGGATTAAAAGCAAAGTTCGAAATAAACTTGGACGTGCATTTCAAGTGGAGATAGTAAAGTTAGAGTTCCAAAGTTATAGTCGGAGTTAAAATCAAACCGACGGATGAAAATACCTGGAAACAAATCAATTTCTGGTTAACTATTATTCTGCGGCGCCCAGGAAATTTCGATTCCGTGGGAACCCGTGGTTCACGGGGGATCCGATGATTGTTTATTTTACGAATCCTCTGAAATCAACGACTCCGGGCGGGAACGCTCCTTTAAGGAGTCCCAGAACGAGACGCTGGAAATTTATTCCATTATCGTCCGCGAGGGGAGCAGGGGACGCGATCTTTCCGTTCCGCGGCCACGACTGATAAGGAATAAAAATAATTGGAAGCTGTCGCGCGTTCCCGACGAACGACCCGGCCGGCCGGATATAAAAGAGAGCGGCCGCTGAAATTTCGTTAGCTCCGCCGATTGCCGAACACCGTTGCCCGCGAACAAGGAAACGGCGAGTCGCGAATTGTATCTGATTCCACGAGAACTCCGCTAAACGAACGTCTATTCGTGGCTCGCCGGTTTCATTCGTTCGAACGCAGATCTCGTTCGAGACAGGAATATTTCTCGAGAACGCGGCGTCGCGTGTTTCCCGTGTCGCAACTCGTTATTTCATCGGTGCTTCGCGTTCGGTTCGATTTTTCGGGGATTCCCGAGTGCCCAATGATGGGTGAAGCGTGAATAATGAGGCGAACCGAGCTCGATGAAATTTCAGACCGCGCCTAACTTGTTGAATCCGTGTTCCTCCGTTCCTGCCCGCGATTAACTCGTTCGAGCCTGCTACAGTCTTCGGGACATCCGATATTTGAAGGGGGTATTTTCGAGCGGAAGACGTAGACAGTTGTCGGAGGAAACTTCGAGGTTTTATCGGTGTTTCTGTTGTACCGATATGTTGGAGTGAAATGAAGAAAACGAGGCAAAGCGACGCGCTGAAGTAAAGTAAAACAAAGTGCGGAGTGAAAGAAAGCAAAACGGAGTATAGCAAAGTAGAGTAAACTGAAAGTAACGAAAGGTGAAGCAACGCAAAATCAGGCAAAAAGTCATCGCGGTTCTATCCTGCGCGTTTCAGATACCTCTCGCGATACAACAACAACAGGATAACACAATAATGTAACAATGTTCTTTAACCAAAACGATGCAAGTTTTCGCGTGAAGATGGAGAAAGACGGAAAACGGTTCGCGTTCGTGTGTATCGCAGCGTGAAACGCAATCGCGATCACAGCGTATCACTGATAATCCGATTACCGATTAAACTTGGCTAATTGACGGTGTACCCGCGTGTAATTGCGCCGGCCGGAAACTGCCGCCGATCGCCGGCCACCGATAATGGGAATCCGGGGATCCCGCGGCCGACGCGTGCCCGAGTCGCTTAGAAAATTCCCTTGCCGAGTATGCCGCTGAAATGCCTAAAATTGCTGCTATTCGGTTGTACAAGCGCTATCGAATTCACGTCTAATTAAAATGTCCGAGCAGCCAAGAAACCTTTACAAACCTCTTCCCTTGAAAACGACGCCTACATCCTCGTTTTGCTTCCAAATTCTCAGACGCAGAGGTTTAACCCTTGCACTCCATATGATTCTGTAATCTACCAACTCCAATTTTATAGTATCTCTAGCACGAATGAAAAATGTTATATGGTAACATCTCTTAGATTCCTTTATTTTCCTTCTTAATACAAAGTTTGGATGTATAGAAGATCCAGTGATCTTAGGGTAGTTCTAAATTTATTCATTAAAGTATTTAATAGTATAAATGGTGTCATAGTGGAGCCTACAGAGTAAAGGGTTAACTCAAGTATCCGGAACCTTCTGCAGATTCTGTGAAATTATACATCGAATGATTAAGTAATAGAGACTGAGGAAACTATGCATCGATTCCCTGCTGCTCGATTAGTTAAATCATTCGGTCGCGATTTGCTATTCGAAACACGACAGTTTGATCTCGGCGAAACGTCGATATTCGCCGCAAAGGGTTAAAGACCGAAGAAACCGCGACCGATTATCATCGGGAACGACCGCGACGTCGCGTCGCGTCGGGTCGTCGGATTATTTTAACGACGTCCCCTCCGATCGCCTGAATTATTCCCGAAGAGCTATCCCCCGAGCGAACCCTCTCCGCCGGCACACACGGGACACACGCGTGTGCGCGTTATTCCGGCTTCTCCTCGCGCGGACACTTTATTTATGACGTCTAGACGCCACGAGAGGCTAGGAATCGGTTCCCCGGGTATCGCAGGGCTAAATCGGGACGAGCGGCGCCCACGGGAACCGGTCGGAGAGCGTCGACAATCGATATTCTTTGATTAAATTCGACGGAAATCCGAGAACGAGAGCGGAATATCGCGCGAGCTCGGCCTTTAATTAAACCGTCCGACGTCGTTCGTGTGCCGCCCTCCGCCCCTTTCTCTGTTTCGCCCCCTTCGGCCGGCTCCGGGAGGCGGCACGGCCATTCGTAAGGTTCGCGGGCCTGGAAAAAGTATAATCGACTCCTTCCCTCCTCGATCGACGGGAAATATTCTGCTCCGACCGGCTAAACGTCGACCAGGAATCCAGCTTTGATCTAATTTCGCGTTCGAGCTGATGGGAAAAGGGAGGTGACGCGTTTCTTCGTTCGCGATGGCGCCTCGGGGCTGGGTTTTTTGTTGTGCGAAGAGCAATTGCGGGAAAGTGGGGATCTGTTGGAGTTTGGAACTGAGATCGTTGTTTGTTGGTTGGATATTTCTTAATATCTTGCGTTGGATAAATATATAAATAAGTGTGTGCAGTATCGATCGTATAATTATGTACTTATTTTGATCGCCAAGGATTAGCAGTGACAAGTACTGGCGTATGAATATTGGAGAAATAGTAACATTGTTAATACTATTAACCCGTATTTATTGATCGCGACGAATTCGCCGAATAACCAGTAACATGTTAGTACCGCTATCTTCAGCTGCAGCCCCTAATAAACTTGAAACTACGAAATTCCGATGAACATCCTTCCCAACAACCTCATCAACGCCACTCTCCGCGGCCGGAAAACGGCGAAAACCACCACTCAACTCCCCAGTCCATCAAGAACGAGCAACAAACAATTAACTCGATCATTCCGCAAACTGAATCGAGAGAACAGCATCTCCAAACACCGACACACCGGACTTAGCTGCCCCCTGAAACAGGAACAAAGGGGAGGATCGGCGATATCGCGAGAAAGGGAGAAGCCGGCGAAGCGACGCGGAAAACGGGAAGAAGAACGACGGGGGGATGGGACCGGGGCCAGTCGAAAGAGGCTTTCGCCCGGAAGCTTTCACCGGTGGAACAGAAAAGCTCCGGCCGCTCGTTAGTGGAAAAATCCAATTTAGCCGCGCGCGGGGGCGGCCGGGGCCTCGGACAATGGTCGAGGAGAGCGCGACAAACGCGCGGTGACGGGTCGCGCGGGCCGGAGGGGTTGTTTTCATTGATTAACAATCGAATTACGTCCAATCGCGGCCGCATTCATTTGAATCGTCGGCGCGCACGCGATGTTTCGGAGGAAAGGCTGCCCGTTTCCGTCGCTGCGTGTCCCTGCTCCTGCAGTTTTTCCTGGCCTATCGATCGCTCGCTGCTCTTTAATTAGTCATAACCATCTGCGCGTTAATTAATTCCGAAGTGTATCGACGACCGGGATGAACCCGGCTTTCGGCGATAACCGGTGGGATATGTGTCTCGTCGTTTTTGTGTGTTTTCCATTCGGCTTTTTGGGATGGACGTTCCGTTTGATGCTTGATCGAGCTGAGTGGAACCATATACGCGTTTCAGGTGGATTGTTAAAGGGTTGTAGAATTTGTTGGGGGACAGAGTTACAAGTTCAACTCGCAAAATTTCAGTCCAACGAAATGGGACATCGAAACTAGAAGATTCGAAGGACTTTTTTGAGTCGAAAGACACGTATTCCAACGTTCCCCATGATTCGCGTCCCCGAAGTCTGGACACTGTTCCAGTTCCGTTTTTGTCCGTTCGACTCGATTAATTTCTCGGA